GACCTTATCCACTATCTGTTTGTCATTTTATAGATGAGGTGATCTGGTCATTCAGCTAGTTCTGTCACCAGGGCTGGGATGCAGGCGTCCAGTCCTCTGTCTTGTAGAACACGCAGTATCAGATCACTGGCTATTTCCTTGGCTCTGAGGCAATGAATTCCAAGCAATGTGAAGATGGAAGTAGATTACACACCAACACCCTTAGGCCAAGCAGAGTGTTCTGCCTCTCAGCTAAACGGAATTGTGACACAGAGGGCCATGAATCCTCCAGCAATGTGAAATGTGGCTATATTAACTTTACAAACTTTCCTGACAAGCTTCCTTCTTCATGGATTTTCCTGAGCTAAGCAGCTGCCCTTTTGTAGTGACACAGAGAGAGAGCTTACAAAAAGAGAGCTTCAGGGAAGTCTACTTAAAAGTCACAAAGGGAACAAGCCTCTTCCTTCTGGCCTTCTTAAAGATTCCTTATAGCTGGTAAGAATCTTACTTTGTTTTTCAGATGATTTATAATTTATTTTAAAACACTCCACAATCATGTAGCTTATTTGTTCCTTTGCAATTTGTTTTCAGGGTTTTTTTCCCCCTAAATAATATCATTTACATTGTATTTTCATGTAATTTCTATATTGCTTCAATTATGCCATTTGTTTTCCCTCCTCTTTTTTTTTTTAAATTAAAATATACAAATATAGCGATGCACACATCACTAGAGTAAAGCTTGATGTATTTCCCAAATGGAACCCCACCCCACCCCCACCCCAACCACTTGCATTCAGATCTAGACACACCACTTCCAGCTCCACATCTGCAAGCAGCCCTTCTGGAACTTTTTGTTGTTGCCCTTTCTTCCCTCTTTTCAGAAATGTGCTTGACATGAAGATGGAACATTCCCTTGGCTTTAAAGATGGCCACATTCCCCAGCGTCCTAGCATTCAGAACGTGCGCACTAGAAGAGACAGTTCTTTCTTCCTACTTAGAAGAGGCCAAGTTAAAATCAAGTGCATCAAGAACCTCGGCCTCTTGGGAAGAGAGCTTGAGGTTTGGTGCCTAGATATAAAGCTGGAAGAGACCAGAAAGAGGTGGTTATGGCCAAGGTGTTGCGCCTCCCAAGTGGCAGGTCTGGGACTCAAGCCCAGGCCTCCATACAACCCCCATTATTCTTTGGTTTGTTAATGTTATGTAAATAGCCATAACCAGGGTGGAGGGATGTACTAGGAAGAGAGACTTCAGGAAGATTTCCTGTGTATCTTGAGCAAGGAAGGACACCGGGCTGGCTGTAGAGGATATAGTACAGTTGGCTGGCTCTCTTCCACTCTGCTGGAGAGAACTCTGCCACCCTTTGGTTGCTTCTGCAATAGCCTCTAACAGTTTCTTCTTGAGTCAGCCTTTCCTAAATGTATGCCCTGGTACCCTAGGGTGGTACAGCAAATTTACAGGGGTGTCTCAGGATTTTTTTATAAGTATAGAACCCAGGACCTCGCCCGTGCTAGGGGAGCACTCTACCGCTGAGCCACAACCCCAGCTCAGGATTTTTTGAATACCTGACATCTGTCACATACTGCATGAACTATTAGTTAAAGGAAATTCAGTTTCAACATTAGATGGTATTACATTCCTTTTGATGACATCATGTCTTTATGGTTTTTGGTGTATGCTGTGCTAAAAAGCAAGCAAGCACTGTGTGAAAATTGATGGGGAATAGGAAATGAGGTGGTTAAGTGCAATTCGATTTTAAGGATTGGGAAATTGTGCAGTGCTCAACAGGTGCACATTCCATTAGAAAGTAATAGCAGTTATTGAAGAACGAATAAAAATATTAATTTTGCCAGGCATGATGGCTCAGGCCTGTAATCTCAGCTACAGGCCAGAGGACTGCAAGTTCCAAACCAGCTGTGGCAAGTTCGAGGCTAGCTTCAGCAACTTAGTGAAATACTGTCCCAAAATAAAAAATAAAAAGATCTGGGAATATAGATCAGTGGTAAAGGGTAAAGTTTAATTCCTAGTACCACTCATCCACCAAAAAAAAAAAAGTGTGTGTAAATTTTTGTTCAATTTACATTTACATATATTATTCTTGTAAAGAACCACTAAACTGATAGGGTATAAGTACCTCAGTTGTTTGGATGAATCTACTAAGTAAACAGATTGTTTAGCTATTTTTTATTTAAACCTCAGGGATATGTTAACCTTTGTCTTAGGCCTAAGGCTCATGAGATCCAGTTCTTCAAGTTATTTTGGCATCTGAAACACTATGCACCAGCTGGATGTTCAGCTCCTCGACCAGCATCCAAGATGATTTTATTCAGATGGGAAAACAAAGTCTCAGAAAGTAACTTGATTGAGTTCATCCACTTGGAGCAGATTCAGATGTTAGGGTTCTGAAGATTTTGCAGTTGTTGGAGCTCTCTATAAGAACAATAATGCAAAATTAGATGTTTGAAGTTGGGTAGAGGTTTGTGCAAGTGAGGGGTCTTGAAGTTTAAAAGGTTCATTAGCTTCGTTAGCCTGAGACCGGCTAGTAACGAGAAACCTAGCTTTGTCTGACTTCAAAGACAGAAAATGGGGATTCCTTTTTCCTAAGGCAATACTAGACCTCCAGGGATTAAAAAAAAAAAGCAACCCTAGAAGCCTGAACCTAGGGGTTATCCCCACACTTTGCCCTCTCTGAGAAGGAACCTGGGAGTGGGATCTCTTCCTGGATCTTCTCATTATTCTGAGTCTGCCACCTGCTAACTCTGTGATCTGGGAAAGTTATCATTTCTTTTACATATGTGCAGCCATTAAAGCCTAACTCTGAAGAGCAAATATGAGGGACTTGGAAAACTGCAAGCAAGGAGAGATGAAATGACTCATCCAGTGATAAAATGTGGAGTAGGATCTAGCCTTCCTCAAGTGATACTTTTTAACCACTATTCCCACACTGCTCCATAGCAACACCTTGATAGTATGTAATACCAGTGTTCAACTATTAGAGACATAAAATTAATAAATTTTGAACTCAGTTTTCCTTTTCTTTTTTAGGGGCAGTGGGTATTGGGCACTTTACCACTGTAAGCTCAGTTTTCAACATGCCCCTTATTGGATAGCAAGACGGAAGATCATTATTGATAAAAATTGGTAAGAAGGTAGAAGGAGCCAAGCTTTCTGGAGTTGCTAGGCAATAATACCCTCACCAGACTGGAAGGCTTCAGTAAGATACCACTGGAGCAAGTGGCTGATCTACAACAGGTATATGCACTGTGTTAATCATCTTCCTCTGCTCCCACACAAATAGCATGTGTATTTGGAGATGAAATAAATAGAGACAAGCTGGTCGGTAGAGTTTCCTCTGTGTGGGGGTAAAAATCAATAGATGCACATATACAGCAAGCAACTGTCTACAAAAGATGCAAATCAGACCAAGCTGGCAGATCTTGGCCTGGTTTCTCGTCTTGGTTAAGCACCTCATTCTGTGTCTATTTCCAGGGGTTCTCCATTACCCATAGAGGTAAAAACTCCTTATCTGGCATTTGAAATTTCCCCAAATCTAGCCTTTAACTAACCCTCCAATATTTTATCTATGATCCAACACAAACCTTTTTTCTAACCCAACTGGTTTCCTCATTCACCCCCAAATATCCTCAGCAGTAAGCCACTTCCCTCCTAAAACTTCTCTCTCCTGGGCTCCAAATCCTGCCCTTCCTTTAGGGCCTTGTTGACTCCCTCTTGCAGTAAGCATTTTTACTAGCTGATCCCAGTCCCTGGGGAATGGGGTTCTCTCCAATGGTAGCAAACCTACCATTTGTACCATATTTTCAGGACTTAACCACACGATGCCTTATTTCATCCTATAAAGTTTAGGGAGTTGGTTTTTCCTCCCAACTGCCTTGTAAGCTCAGTGTGTGTCAAGGAAATAACATCTGTCTGAAAACAGAGACGTGGCTTCTGACTTGCTGTATAACTCTGACAAATATCTTTCCTCACTTCCTTTAACTCTGAAGGGAGACAGTTGGATAGGGAAACTCTAAAATTCCTTTTCTTCTGATGAGGACCCTTTCCACAGGGCCCAGTGGGGTAGTGTATAAGGTGACCGCTTACACCCAAAGCATCTAGCAAGGTGCTAAAGGATGAATAAAGGCAAATGAAACACACTGCCTGCTCTCAGGGAGCATACCAGGGAGGGCTAAAAGCACATACTCACTTGTAGAATTGAGCGAGGGGACGGGATAAAAGGTCAGGAGGGGACAGCAGCATCTGTTTGATACTCTGTCCAGTAGTTACTTTGCCCATTTCTCTGACAAGCCCCAAGGCCAGCTTCATTCTCTGAACCTATCTTTCCCCTATTTCAGCATCTTACCATGCACACCTCTGCCCTCACCACCAGAGCTGGGCGATGGATGCCACACATCATGTTCCCCCGGTTTAAAAGTCCGCTGGGCTACTCCCAAGCTGGGGAAGCCAAGTCAGTAGGGTCACCCTGACTTCTGTCCCTAGAGCCTTCCTTGCCTGGCTGCAGTACGTGCTGAGAGGCATCAGGAAGAGCGGGTAAGAAAGGTAGAACACAGCAGTGACTGGTGCTGGGTGATTTCTTTGATCACTTAATTAAATGCCAAGTGCTGTTTTGAACGCTTTACCTACACGTACTCATGTAATCTGCACATCTCTGTGGTTATTATCATCTCCCCTGCTTTACAAATCACCCCTGGAATCCAGAAGTCAAATGACTTGCCCAAGATAACAAGTAGGTGGAGGAGCCGGGTGGAATTCTGGCAGTCTGGCTCCATGGTCACACGAACTACTGCCTCTCGCTGTAGCTCTCCACGAAGGCTCCCCAGCTTCCTTCTCTGCCAGTGTGATCCTTCCTGGAGCTACCCACGGACAGGAGGAAGGAAACCGGTAGAGGCATTATCCCGGGGTGGCTAGGGGACCGGCAAAGTGCTAACTGGATGTCAGGGCCGGAGCTACGGTTCTGGGACAGCCAATCAGCTGACTCTCAACTGCGGAAAGGGGCCAGGATAGCGAGAAGCCCCTGGCAACAGGTCTGAATTCTGGTCTCGGTTCAGACGGCAGAACTTCTTCCACCGTTCCCAGGCTCAAGTTGCCCCGCCTTCAGAGGGGGAGCCGCACTCGGGCCCGGAGAGGCGCGGAGAGCGCCCGGGGCAGGTCAGCGTGGGGGCGGCGTGTTTACGCAGCAGGACTGCGTGCGTTCAGGGGCTGGAGAAGATGTCGTGCTCTGTGGGCACAGGCAGGAAACTTAAGCAGGAGGCCGTGCCGGTTGGGGCTGCGGAGGGAGGCGGCCGGAGCGGCGGCGCCTGGAGAAGCAGCCGCAGGGGCGCAGGGCGGGAGGCCCGGCGTGCGGCTCGCGAGTGGCGGCCGCGCCAGGCCCCACGGGAGTCGAGGAGAGCGGGGCGGCAGGCCGGCCCCCGCGACCCGGCGGCTAGCAGCCGGCCCGCGCGCCCCCGCCCCCGCCCGGCGCAGGCCCCGCCCCGCGCGGGTCACGTGCGCGCCACGCACCCTCCCTGGGCACGGCTCGGGCGCGCGGGCGGGGCCGGGCCGCGAGGTCCCAGGGGGAGGCTCGGGGCGGGCTGGGGACCCAGACCCGGGACGCGGCGAGGGGTGGGCGTATGGGGGCGGGGCCTGTCGCGAGGGGCGGGGCCTGTTGCTAGGGCTGGCGCAGGAAATAGGGCGAAGGGGCCGGTCCTACTGGCTGCAGGTTCGGGCTGCTTGTTTACTCCCGGCGGGGGAGCTTTAACCGAGCGGCGGGAGGGAGAGCGCGAAGACGCGGGCTGGAGCTGCGAGCGGCTGGGCAGGAAGCGGGGCGGGGCGCAGGGGGCTGCGGCTGAAGTCCCGGGCGCGGCGTTCCTGCAAGGGGCCTGCTGCAGAAGAGGCCGTGCCCAGTTGGTTATTGGTTTTCTTCTTCCCCCTAATTAAAGAATAAATTCCTAGCCTGCTTGTTGCTCCCTGCCTTTCCGGTCTCCCCCTTCCTTAAACACACACACACACTCACACACTGTTGGTGAAGTGTGCACGCAGTCCAACCTTCAGGCCCTGAAACGCCTTGATCCTAGAGTGGGTAGGATCCGGAGGGCGGGCTATGCATACGTGCTCGCGGGGATCGCTGCCTTAGGAGGTGGACGCCTGATGCGTGTCGTTCCCGAGTGGGTCTCTGCCACTTTTCTTAATCCAGGAAATGATTCAGTTGCACTATCGTCATATAGTCTGCGTGCCTGCCTGTGGCTGCAGTTACACAAGTTCGTTTTAGTCTATGTTCTTGAGCTTCGTTTCTAATTTATCTGGTGAGTGAAAAGAGTTTTTCATAATGTAAAGTACTCCAGAAATGTACTTTACGTTACATAAAATAGAGAACAGCAGGCGCTATGCACTGCCTTCTTCAACCAAGTCAGTTTTTTTCTTTCTGGAAAGTACAGAGCTCTGAAGAGATTGTAGTACCTGATTTGATATTGTATTAATAACTATCATGTCGACATTTTGGTGCTGTTCAAATGAGATGTCATAGTTGAGAGCTGCCAACAACCATCTTCCTGAATGTATGAAAGAAGCATTTTTGTGTGTGTGGTGAGGGAGGTTATTTTGAAGTAGGAAAAAAAATGGGACTACCAAGAAGGAACAAATAGAAATGTGAGTTTTAGAGACCAAGCCCTCACGACTTTGTTTAAACTTGGGGGTCTTGCTGTGTCTGTGGCCAGTTGTATTCCTAGATTTCCCAGTTAAACCAGCAAGTTCATTTTTTTTTTTTTTTTGCTTAAGCCAGCATAAGTTGAGTTCCTGTCACTTGTCTCTGAAAAGAAGCCTGACTAATAAGTTTGGCACAATGTTTATTTATCCCTCAGAGAATAATGGAAGTTGGGTGCTGGCCACAACTATCACTTCTTAAGTGTTCTACTTCCCATAATGAGTCATACCAAGTGTGAGTCCCATGGATGTGGGTTAGACAGAGACAGATCTAATTTTCCAGTAGTGTTGCTGTTACGAACAGGACACAATTCAACAAGCCCAAGTTAGAGTTTGGATAGATAACTTCCAACCTTGGAATATTATGATGGTCTGAATCAGGAAGAGAATAAGGCTGAGAGTTTTGAGATAAGGTTACTAGGTATTTGGTGACATAAGCAAAGAAAGATGTTGAAATAAAGAGAGAAGCAGGAAACAGACTCATAAACTGTTCTATCAGTGGATTATGGCTGAAGGATGAGAAGTAAGTGGGTCAGTTTTGAAGAAACAGGTAGACAATGCTGAATGGCAAGGAGCAGCGGGTATTTGCAATCAGGAAATCTTGGAGACAGAGGGAATCCCTGATGGGCGATTCCTTCTCCTGAAGAATTCCAGAGATGAAAACAGCTGGGTAGGTTACCAAGCCAAAGATGGTCAGTGGACCATAGAAAACAGGGATGGACAGTCTTTTCACATTCTTTGTCGACTATAGCCATTCTGAGGATATTGGGAAAAAAATTATAGTGGACCTATACATATTCTTTGGGATCACTGGTAAAAACCAAGACTGGTCTGATGATGTCTGCATGAGAAGAAAGGAAGGAAGGAAGAAAAGAAGGGAGGGAGGAAGGAAACAATTATATAAATTAAAATGTATACAATACTAACCCCTGTTCACTCCCTGACTTCCAGGGGGAGAATTCTTTCCTGGCTTGGTCAGTGGCTAGGTCCTTGACAAAGGTGATCCATGGAAATCAGGAGCAGGCTGTGTTTCTCTACTTGAGAAAGGGGAGAAGGCAGGAAGAGTAACAAAGTGAGGAGAACAAGGTTGAGGATAGTAGAAAAGAGAAGGAGGAGAAGGGGAGAGCAACAGATGTGGGAGTTGATTTTGGAAAGAGGATTTTTGGAAGCTCTGTTGTGTGTTGTGCAATGAGATTCTTCCTTGGCTTCCTCTCTTAAGAATGGCAATAGAGACATCTTCCTCCCCCCCCCCCCCACCCAAAAAAAAAAAGGTTTAACACATTTATTTCTGAGCCAACTCACTAGTGTAGATCATAGAAAAAGAAAAATCAGATTCCCAACAAACATGCCCAACTCTCCAGGCATTGGTGACCTTTTCGTCTTGATGTGATGTGATAACCCTGAGACAGCATAAATCTGTGTGCCATCTCCCATGCAATTCCTCATAGAGCCAGCTTGGTTCTTCTCCAGTGTCTCCTCTTGGAGTTGTCCATGATTTATTACCAGTTTGCATCTGAGTCCTTTGGGAAATGGGACAATTTTGCTTTTGTCTCTTGGCCAGGAATCATTTGATTCTGAAAGTCTTGTGAAAAGACATGATAAGGAACAGAGGAGTCTGGTGCATACATCACAATGGTGGGAAAGGGAGAAGAGGCAAAGACTGACATTATTTGTAAGACCTTTTTGAATTGGATTTGTTTTTCTCCTAGTAATGTCACCCAGATTCACAGGTCTCCTGGCAGCATTTTATAACCCTTCTAGCTAACTGGAGGTGCTATAGTATCTTTCCTCCCACATCTTTTCCCAACCCACAGGGGAAGTCAGAGTGACCATAAGAACTTTCTTATCCAGTGGTGAGTTTGCTTATTGGGAATGGGCTAATGGATGCTATAGTACGTGATAGTAATGACTTCCTAGTCATTTGGCTCTTAGTATTTGTCTTAAAATGAGTTGGCTGGTGAACAGCAAAGATTCTCTTTGGGAACAATGAGTTTGGTGGAAGAAGGTGTATGTCAGAGGAATAACAAACTGTGGGAGTGGACTGAGATTTTCACTTCCCACTTGGAATGCTAAATTACAGAACACTTAGTTGTTGGCCATTTCTCTTGTCCTCAGGAATCATTGAAGACATCATTTGGGAGGGGTGGTTTGGGACATAGTCAATTATACTATGAGAGAGAGAAGGTTGGGATTTGGTAAATCAACAGTTTATAAGTGAGAAGATTGTGGGATTGCTCACATTTAAGACAAGCATCAGAAAAACAGAGTACTCCCAGGTGCATCATACCAAAGGGTAATTGACTAGGATTTTAATAATTCAAAGGACTTCCACTTCAATGTATTTTAAGGATTACTAAAGCAGGATATGGCCTAATGCCAGTTGAATTAAGAGAATCAGTGTGGTGACTAGATATCTTATCAAGTTAAGACTCGATTTTCTGGGGCAAGTATTTGATTGATTCTTTCCAAAATTCAAAAACAAGTCCCATTTTCCCTCACCTAAGTGAATTTAGGCAAATCTTTGGGAAAATTAAATTTGGGCTGGGTGCAATGACACACTACTGCAATCCCAGAGACTTGGAAGGCTGAGACAGGAGGATCACAAGTTCAAGGCCAGCCTCATCAACTTAGCGAGAGCCTATCTCAATAAACAAACAGAATCAGGGATATAGCTCAGTGGTAAAGTGCCCCCAGGTTCAATCCCCCATACCAAAACAAAAACAAAAACAATAACAACAAAAATCCAAAAAACTTATTGAGTTGATCAGGGCCAAATCTTGGACAATGGTTAGTTAGCAGGTGGCAATCATTATTATTTCCAGTGCTCCTGGGTTCTGCCATTCCATGGTGTGCATTTCATGAAGAATTGCCCTACTCTTGCAAGATCATTGCCTCAGTATTTGGGCTACTCCTGACCATCTGGGCGGTCTGGATGGCAGCAACACTTGCTTTGAGCAGCAGTTTGAGCCTGCAGAAGAAAAGGAAGGATCGAAAGTGCCTGTGTGGTGCCAGTGAACACAATGGCACAGTGTGAGTGGTGATGCAGCTCAACAGCTGGGCAAAAATGAAACTCTGCTGAGTCCCCGAGAAGAGGCCACCAGCCCCTGCTATGGAAGGCCAGCAATGATTCTTTCATGGGACGGAAATAAGAGCCTGAAGAGCAAAGTCACATGACAATAAACACACTTGAGAAAAACAACTATCATGTGCTCTGTAATCCCAGTAATTTGAGGGGCTGAGGCAGGAGGATTGCAAATTTGAGGCCAGCCTTGGCAACTTCGCAAGAGTCTGTCTCAAAATAAAATTTAAAGAGGGATTGGGGATGAAGCTCAGTGTTAGAGTGTCCCATCCTGGGTTCAATCCCTAGTACCAGAAAAACAAAAATGAAAAGAAAAGGAAATAAAATTACTAATATGTGCAGGCATTCACAGGGTACATTGTTCTGCCAATTTCTTACTTTTTCGTGTGTG